ACTTTTCTTTCTCTGAACGTGTTTTTATTGATTTGAGAGAGAGGAAGAAAGGAGAGAGAGAGAGAGAGAGAGGGGGAAAGAAGACATTGATGTGAGAGAGAAACATCGATCCTGCCTCCTGCACATACCCCTACGGGGATGGAGCCCACAACCTGGACATCAGGACCGGGAATCAAACCGGTGACCTTTTGGCTCATGGGACGATGCTCAAACAACTGAGCCACACCTGCCTGGCCCGTGGCTGTGCCGCGGAGTGGGTCCCCGCCAGCCCCACCCCTCGGCCAGGAGGCCGCAGACCTCACCGTGCCCGTCCGGAGCCCTCTGTGCCTCTCCTGTCCCCGTGGGACCGTCCCACAGCCTCAGCCTCCACACCGTGTCTCCGCCGGCCTCTGAGGGGGGCGGGTGGCCATCCTTCCTGTCCTCCTCCCCTGCCCCTCCCTCCAGCTCCCCCTTCACCCCCCAAACACATGATCCACATCCAAGTTCAAGTCCTCGGTCTGCTGGCCACCCTGCCCCCAGGCCCCGCCCCCAGGGCGCGCTGGACCCTACGGTGCCATTTCGCTGTGTTTGTGAGGACACAGACACACACACCCGGATGCAGACGACGCGGTGGAGGTAACAGAAGCACGCTTTTAAAATAACTTATTTGTTATCAACACAATCTTCTCGCTCTCACCCAAATATCAATCACCGCCTCCTCGGTGGGCGGCCCTGTGATTACCCGCGCTGCATCATTCCGGAGGATCCTGATTAACGCTCTGTGATGCAGCCCTCTGAGGAGCCCGGCCCGCCTCCATGTCATCATGTCACCCGGTTTCATGGTTTCGACAGGAAAAAAGTCGTTTCAGAAAGATGCCCGGGTCCGGCTGGCTGGAGAGCGGGCACCCACCAGCCACGTGCCCGCTTCCAGGCCACCCACAGACGCACAGAGGTGCCCATGGGTGTCCCCCTCGCCGCGGCCAGCAGAGTTCTGGCTCACTGGCTGGAAAGAGTCACAACGTGGTGTGTTCTAGACATTTTATCTCCAGCACAACGGTACGGTCGAAGCGTTTGTGCGTTGAAAAAATTGGATGAGCGCTGGCCGGTGTGGCTCAGTGGATAGAGCCTCGGCCTGTGGACTGAAGGGTCCCGGGTTCGATTCCGGTCAAGGGCACGGACCTTGGTTTTTCTATAATAGAAGTGTCAGAGATGAAAGAAAATGAGAGAAACGTATATGAAAATCTCCCTCCTGTCGGAGTCTGGGGTGTGCCACGGGACCCAGAGTCAAGTCCCCGCCCACCTGTGTGCGCCTCTAAATTGTGTGAGACCCCAACCCGGCCGGCCCCACCCCCCGTCAAGCCCCACAGACCAGGGGGCACAGCCTGAGGTCCTCAGGCCCAGCGCGGGGCAGGGGCCTCCGTCTCCGGTCCCCCATGGGGGTGTGATGGCGTGACGACAATTTGCATATTAGCTCTTCATTGTATAGGATTTGCCTAAGAATGCTCTTCCCACCCCAAAGCACGTAAGAACTCTAGATTTTGCTCTTCTGTCGTGTTTATAATACTTTGTATTGTTCTGAGTCTTTTTAAAAAGCAATGTTTTTATTGATTACAGAGAGAGGAAGGGAGAGGACAGCCACTGCTTCCCCCCCACGCCCCACGCCCAGGGATGGAGCCGAAACCGGGGCCTGTGCCCTGACCCGGAGTCAAACGGTGACCTCCTGGCTCGTAGGTCGGCGCTCAGGCCCTGAGCCAGGCGGGCAGACACTCGTGTGGGGTGATTATTTGGAGTTGGGTATGTGGTTCTCTTTCAAAACAACGGGCGGTCCCTCCACCGGCGTCTATCAAACCCGCACTCCGTTACCACCCCCTCGTTCACTTCAGATGCTGCGTCATCGCCCTTTATTTTCTTCCAGGTGGTTCCCGGAGCTCCCGTCCCCGCTGGCGACTCTCTCAGCCGTGTGTCAACACCGCGCTGTTTGCCAGCCGCGTCCTCGGCCGTAGCCGGGGATTTGCAGGCAGAGAGCTCCCGACGGCTCTTTCCACACGTGCTTTATGCGTGGCATTTACACTTCGGATGGACTGGAGAACGTTAACGAGTTCATAACCAGGCCTGCGTGGCCGATGTCTGGGGCCGGTCGAGGAGGGGGATGCGCTTGCAGAGGATCGAGGTCTGGCCGCCCAGCCTTCGCGTGGGATTTGTGTCTTGGTTTTTAGAAAGCCTCACTGCGTCGTCAGCGACGGCCGTCCGGCTTCCCCCGTGGGCTCCGGTTGGCTGCGGTCGAGACTCTGGCTTTGTTGTTCTGAAATGAATCTATTGACGTGATGCCCCTTCCCCTGAGAGACGAGGCCCAAATCCAGGTGTGTAGCACGCGTGATGTGATTGCATCGGCGGCAAAGATGATACACCTGCAGGCGTGGTGCCACGCACACCGTGAACGTGTGAGCGTGATTGCCCGTCTGGTTCTCGGTCCCCATGAGCTGAGGGCCGGAGCCCTGTTCTGATGGCCTTGTATCTAACATCTGGCTCATAGTAACGCTCACAAGGCCTTTGCAAAGTGAATGAGTGGGTGAATGAACGAATGAATGAAGGAATGAAATAAAGTGACATCGAAGGGCCTACACAGAGAGCACAGCATTTCCTCCACTCTCTCTGCTTTGCTGTATGTTTTTTATTTTTATTTTTTGTGAAAATGTATGCTCTTGCACTTTAAAAAAAAAAGGGAGAGAAGACGATTTTCACTTGGAAAAAGAAGACAGCTGTAATAAAAGAAAGAGTACCTGAAGGTGTGGCTCATTACGTACGTGTCAATTAAAGAAGCAGAGGGGAAAGGTTGGGCACTGGCCCATTCATAAATACCTGGAGGGGGAGGGAGAGGGATGGGGTTATAGCTGTTTTGTTTAATTGGAACTGGAAGGGGGGATCATGTCCTTACGTTATGTCCTTCCCAGAAACGGGGAGGGACACTGTGATCGCACTCCTGTACTGGCCACCGCCGCTGTCCGTCATCACGTTGAGTTCACTTCCCTCGAGAGTTTGGATAAATTCAGGTCAGAGCTGCAAGTTCGCAGCCCTCACGTGTCATAGAAAAGCAATTCACCTACGACTGATCTCTCCGTTCAGAAGTGTGCAGTCTTAATGTACAGTGATGAGTAACTGTTATTTTATGATCTTTTCATTAAAAGCTTGATTGAAAACTAAAAATAAATAAATAAATAAAATAAAAAAGCAGAGGGGAAATTGCCCGGCTGGTGTGGCCCAGTGGTTGGGTGTTGACCCATGAGCCAGGAGGTCCACGGTTTAATTCCCAGGCAGGGCCCATGCCTGGATTGTGGCTTCATCCCCAATGAGGGGCGTGCAGGAAGCAGCTGATTGATGTCTCTCTCTCATTGATGTTTCTGTTTCCCTCTCCCTCTCCCTTCCTCTCTCTAAAATCAATAAAATCTATATTTTTTTTTTTAAAAAGGAGGAACAATATATAAAAAAGGGAAAAATGGCCCTGGCTGGTTTGGCTCAGTGGTTGGAGCATCGGTCTGCGGACTGAAAGGTCCCAGGTTCGATTCCGGTCAAGGGCATGTACCTGGGTTGCGGGCACATCCCCAGTAGGTGGTATGCAGGAGGCAGCTGGCGGATGTTTCTCTCACATCGATGTTTCTAGCTCTCTATCCCTCTCCCTTTCTCTCGGTAAAAAACCAATAAAATATATTTAAAAAAAATTCCACAAAATTTGAAATGTCGCTGGATACTGGGTGCTATTAAAGATTAATAATTATTATTATTAATCTCTGCTCCTGTGAGTCTGACTGCTTCCGATCCCTCGTGTAAGTAGGATCGTGCGGTATTTGTCCTCCTGTGACATCGCCTAACAAGGTTCAGCTGGTGGTCACAGGCCAGGGGCCAGGGTGGGGTGGGGAGGAGGGAGCTGCTGTTCAGCAGATACAAAGTTTCAGTTATGCTGGTTAAGTTTCAGAGGCCCGTTAGGTACCGTACTTAACAACAGTCTGTCCTGGCTAACCATTCTGACCGAGTGTCCCAGCGGAATCATTGTAGCGACTTTTCTTAGGTTTGCTAATGCCATGCTGGTTACATTTTTACAAAAGCATTTACCTTTAGAGACCTATGCCGAAGTAGTTACAAGGGCAATGATACAACGTAGAGCATTTGCTGCAAATTAACTGGATGGGAGGGCTGCGTGGAAGACCTTGGTCGTGAGCTGAAATGTAGAGTTTGTGACAACACGTAAAGAGGGAGGTGCTGGCGGGTGCTTGAGAGGGGAGGGGAGAGGCTTCTATGGAGAGAATAACAGGGAAGCCTGGTTATTTATTAAGGTATTTTAATATTGATTTCAGAGAGAGGGAAGGAGAGGGGGAGAGAGTAACATCAATGATGAGAGAGAATCATGGGTTGCACGCCCCATCCTGGGGATCGAGCCTTGCAACCCGGGCGTGCCCGGCCTGACCAGGAACCCACCTGGGACCCACCCCTTTGCCACGCGGGTGGGGCAGCAGCCTGGAAGAAGCACCGCAGTCATCAACACACATGAGGACATAATTGCGCCTTTTTAAAAATTTTTTTTTAAAGAAGCATAATTCTATTTTTTTAAAATATTTTTATTTTTCTCTTACAATTGCGCCTTTGAATGCATGGAACAGGCACGGGCAGACTTGAACTTGCTACCGTGGAGCGGCTGGCTGCCCGAGTGCGTGAGCGGACTCCGCCCGCCAGAGGCCGCCCTGAGCGCCCGGGGCGGGGAGGGACGTGGGCGCGGGGCCAGGAGTGTGCGGGGCCCCGGGCAGCCTCCCGGGCGCGGGCACCGAGGAGCACGGAGCACGCGGGCACCGAAGGCTCCGCGCAGCCCGGGCCCGGCCCGCCCGCACCACGTCACCTGGGGGCGGGCCGAGGGCGTGGCCGGGCGGGCGTGGGCGTGGCCAGGGCGGCCGGCGCACTTCCCGGCGTGCCGCGCGGGGGGCGGGCGTGGGCGTGGCCAGCGGAGCCCCGCCTCCGGACGCCCGCTCACCCCTCGCTCTGGGCCCGGACGGCACCCGTCCCCGCGGCCTCAGCCCCGGCGAAGGCGGCGGCGGCGGCGGCATGCGCGTGTGAGATGCGGCGGCGGCGGCCGGGGCGCGGGCGGAGCAGCGGGCGGGCGCGGCCTCCTCAGCGCGGGGCGCGCGGCGCAGGCGGCCGGGCACGCGGGCGCCGGGCGGCCGGCCGCGCCGCCTCCAGCAGCACCGGTCCAGGACTCGCTCGCCGCGCGGAGGCCCGGCGCCGCCATGGAGGCCCCGCCGGACCCCGCGCCCCTCGCCGCCGTCCCCCCGGCCCCGCTGCGGGCCCCGGCGGTGGCGCGGCTCCGCCAGGAGCAGGAAAAGGTAACAGGCCGCGGCCCGCTCCCCTCCCTCCGGCCGTCCCTGACCCCCGACCCCCGACCCCCTCCCCCCTCCCCGCCCCGCCCCGGGCCCGGCTCGCCCCAGCGCGGTGCCCCGGTGCCCGGGGAGACGAAGCGCCGGAGAAACTTCTGTCACGTGCTCTTGTTGTCTTCGGCGGCGCCCTTTGACCTCCGCGGGGCGGGGGCCGCGGAGGGACCAGGCCGCCCCTCCTCCTCCCCCCTCCTCCCCGGTGTCCCGGGGGCCTGGGCGGGACGTGATGGCCCCACTGTGCCCCCGGCTCCGTCCCCCGGACCGGGTTTGTGACGGCGCCACGTGCCCGCGGGGGTGTGGCCCGGGTCCGTCCCAACCGCAGCCGCCGCGCCCGGGAGCCGAGGAGTCGGGCGCGGCGAAGAGGGAAGGGAGCCCCGCATCTCCCACTACACCCGACGGAGGACGCACAGCGGGACTGTGTTGTTTTTTTTAAATATATGTGTGTTTTTTTTTTTTTTAAATTGAACTTTAGAGGAAGGGAGCGGGAGAGAAACATCAACGATGAGACAGAATCATCCCCCGGCTGCCTCCTGCAGGCCCCACACAAGGGATGGAGCCCAAAACTTGTGCATGTTGATGGGAATCGAACCTGAGAACCTTCAGTCCCCAGGCCGAAGCTCTGTCCACTGGGCCACACCAGCTAGGGCTGCCATTTTTTAACCTCTTCCCCATTGGCTGGCACAGGTACCTGGCACATGTTGCGTCCCCAAGAAATGTTTGGGGCACAAATGAGTAAACTTATATATACAGGCTTTCACTGCTTCCTGTATGCAAACTCAGGACACATAGACATGGGGATGTTCTCACTTGTCCCCTAAGGACAGGTCCTCATCTTTGGGTCTCGGTCTGCCAGGACACTCTGGGCTTTTAGTTGGTATGTGGGCTGCTGCTCACTTCATTCCCTCCGTGTGGAGTTCTTCATCCAGCCCACTCCCGCCAGACGGGGGACTTGGAAATCTTAGCTGTCCTTAAGTACCAGTTACTCTCGCCAAAAGACCAACAGCTGATACTTTTTGCAAAGTTCAACCTATTTTTCTTGTTCTCCGTCATGAGCACACCAAACAGGTGATTCCAAGACTAACGACATGGCTGCTAAAATATTCGCTGCTGATATTAGTGGAGAGAAATGGTGTGCCTGTGCGTAAGGCGCATAAGGGAAATGAATGCAACACGATTATAGTAATCATTAGCGAACGTTGTAGTTCGTTACTAATGATATATAACAGGAAGGATATTGTAAAAATTAAGGTACGAAATTTTCATTAAAACGTTTCTTGCAGACAGTTATATTGGCTGGGCCGCAAAAATGTTCATTGTGGGCTGCGAGTTTGACATGCTTGGGCTAGACTATTTGAAAGGATCTGCTCAGGACAGGAGACCCAAAATATAGCTCTCTCTCTCTTTTTTTTTTTTTTAAATAGGTTTTTTTAAAAAAAACATTAAAAAAATCCTCACCCAAGGACATGCATTTATTGATTTTACCACCATTCATTTTCAGAACTTCTTTTTATCTTGGGAAACTGAAACTCCCCATGAATCATTTCCCTCTCCCCTGCCCCTCAACGGCTGCCATTTCACTTTCTGTCTCTGAGTCTGACTAGCCATCTTACATTCGTGGCGTCATACGGCATTTGTCCTCCTGTGACTGGCTTATTTCACTTAGCATGACATCCTCTGTTTATTCATATCACAGACCACGTATATCAGAGTTCCCTTTTGTAGGTGAATAACACTCCATTGTACGGAGATGCCACGGGTGGGTTATTCACTCATCCACCGAGGACAGGGTGGCCTCCGCTTTTTGACTGTTAGGGATAATGCTGCCGTGAACTTGACCTGCAGATCTCTCAGGCCTTGCTTGGACTTCTTTTGGGAATGGATCCAGACGTGGCATTGCTGGGTCACAGGTACTCTCTTAGGGACCACCAACCTGTTTTCCACCACGGCTCCGCCATGTTGCCCTTACGTGGTTATTATCTTATCGCTATCCCCGTGGCTGCGACCTGACACCTCACCGTGGCTCTGTTTCACCTCCGTGGATGTTCTTTTTTCTCTGCCTTTTAAGGGCTTCCTTTGATTTAACCAAACACACCTTGCTGATGTGTTTTCTCCGCTCTGACAACTTGTTCATGATACATTCTTTTTTACTGTGGAACTTTAGCACTATACTTCATATGTATTTGTTAGCACTAAATATACTATATATTTATACTATACTTACTATTTTTTCTCATGAGGGTTTTTAAATTTATGTATTTTTTTTCAGAGAGGAAGAAGGAGAGAGAAATATCAGTGATGAGAGAGAATCATTGATAGGCTGCCTCCTACACACCCCACACTGGGGATTGAGCCCGAAACCCCGGCATATGCCCTTGGTCAGATTCGAACCTGGGACCCTGCAGTCCGCAGGCTGACGCTCTGTCCACTGAGCCAAGCCGGCTAGGACACGAGGGTTTTTTTCCCCCAGAGATTGCAACATGCACTCATTTACCCATCCCAGCGCCTGCATTATGGCTCTGCGTTTGAATTCTGTGCGTTTTAAGCACTATGACATTTTATTGTTTTCGGGGACCCACACTGAGTTATTACCTTTTTCTAAGAATACCTTACAGTTGCTCTTGAGTTCCTCCTGCATTTACATTGCTCCCACAGCCCCTGTAGTATTTCTCTCCCCCTGGGTTAGGGTTATTGAACATGGCTGACTGCGCCCCGGGTAGTGTCAGTGGCTACACTGGAGCGAGGGAAACTCGGCTCCGTTCTGTGGCTGTGCCTCCCTTTGCTCTGGACAGCAGCATGGACTCTCGGTTACTGGCTCACACCCTAAGGGGGGGGTCACTCTCACTTTTCGTTATTGTGGACGGCAGCTCCAGGTCAGCTCTGGTTGCTCCTTGGAAGGCGGTGTGTGTCGTCCTTGCTCCTGCCCAGCTGCCCCGAGCTTCTCTTTTCTTTGGTGTTTATCCGGGCAACTCCTCCTGTCTGTGTCTAGTCTGCGGTGCTTGTTCCTTTTTTAGGAGGTCATAAGGCAGGTTCGACTGGTCCAGCTGTGTAAGGGACCGGGTGAGTGTGGGGAGTGGAAACTGGCTAACGGTCCAGATGAGGCGAAGGGGATGGCGCTGATTCCATCGGGCTGTGTTTTCTGAATAAGAGTCGCCAAGTGCTTTGGCAAGTGGCTCTGTGTAATTGAAGTTAACTGTTGGTAGCAGCTTTGGCATTTTGCCTTTTAGGATATTTAGAAAGGAAAGTTGCTTAAAGCTTTATGCGGAAGCCCAGCTCAGTGCAGTTCCTGCTGCTGACAGCGGTTCCAGCGGAGGCACATTGCCCCTCCTCCGGCCGAGGCCAGGCCACTTGGAATGGGCTTGTATTCACAAGGGGTCCACAGCTGATGGCCCTGTGGGCTGGTGCCAGCCCACAGCCAGGGGAATTGAGTGGAGACCTTACCCCCGTGCAACCAGGCCTGCCTGCCTTCCTTCCTAAAGTGAGAGCAGAGTTGTTATTCCTGCATCCATGTGCTTCATTGGCTAGAACTGATCAAACTCAACCTGTGGAGCAGACTGTGCCTGTGTGTCAGCTGGGCCCTGGCGTGAAGGAAAAGCAGTTTGTTGGCTGGGCTGGGTGTCATTGTCAACCTGGACTTGTAACTCGATTAGTGCCTGATGCGGTGTGATAGTGATCACAGGCCGGCCCACTGCCCTCTCCAGCGCACGCACAAACATACACCACATGCACTCACGCACGCACACACACCATGCACACCCCCCCCCCCCCCACTCATGCACACACACACCCCCCCCCCACTCATGCACGCACACGCACACTGGCTTGGGAAATTTGTTGTTCATTCTCAGTTGCTTGACCTGAAAGGGCCATGAGCCGAGTAAAGCATCAGAAGAAGGAAGGATGTTTATTGGTGGATTTAAGCTTTTTTGCTTTTACTGCCATTACTGTGGGCTTATGCAGGGAGGGCAGGAGCAGCAGCTGAGTCCGAGAGGGAGGGAGGGAAGATGGGGGGGGGGGGAGAGAGAGAGAGAGAGAGAGAGAGAGAGAGAAGATGCAGACAGCTGCTCTCCTGTGGGAGCCGTCCCACAGTGAGTGTGGGCTTTGAGGTTGTTTCCCTCTTGGCAGTAACGTTGTGTGCGTTACTTCACTGCTGCGCACAGGTGCCCGCTCCTCGGAGAGGGTCAGGCCCCTCCGGAACTGTCCGCAGCTGGTGGAGGAGGTGCCGTCTCTGCGGAGCTCGGTTAGTCTTGCTGGGGGGGGGGGCAGTTTTGAGTTAGGCGGGCGCCATGTGACGGGGTGTTGGCAAGGCCTCTTGGGGGGGCGTAAGAACGGCCGGTCAGCTCCTCCGGTCCTTGCTTGCGGACCCAGTGCTCCTGCCACACGGACGCATTTCATTTACAGTTCCTGGCTGTGAGTGCCGTTAGTTACAGAATTTACTGGGGCAGTTATTTAATTGTTGAAGTCTGCTGACCAATTCTTTTCCTAAAAACGGTTCAATAAGACTTCTTTCTCTAGGAGTAAGCTCCATGTTTTGGCAGGTCTAACTTAGAAACCTGGAATTGGCTCCCGTTCCCGATAGCCATCTTCTTCAAAAAAGCTCGTGTGAAGGACCACAAAGCAATGAGGTGTTTGTTCCCCCCAGAGCTGTTTATGGGACCGGCTCACTCTCTTACCGTTACAGGAATCAACCTGAGTTCCTTTTCAGAGGGAATGAGATTATTTGGAAGTACTTGACAGAAAAATGAGATGGGTTTGTTTTTTAACCCAGGTAGACTCGTTTGAATCATAAAATTGTCTTCCTTCTAAAATTTTCCTTCCCAGCTAAGTTGTAGAAATTAAAAAAACAGCAACTTGCTGTAACGAGGAAACCTGCAGGTATCTCTGTGAACACAGTGGCCTGGGTCCAGTGTCTGTTGGAGTCGTGGCCTGAGGCCACTGAGGCTGTAGCAGAGGTCGCGGGACGCACCGGGCAGCTCCTGTCCCCTGCGTCCTCCCCCTGTCCCTCTGCAGGCTGGTCCTCATCGTGTCTGGCCTGTGTGGATGGCGCCCAGCGCAGCCTCTTCTGAACCTTCCCCGGAACCAGCGGACACGTGACTGTAAGCAGGGCTTTGGCAGTGAGCATTCCCCTTGTAAATTACGAAATAGGTTTGTTGTTGTCTTCTTGAAATCTGTACCTGGGAACTGTTTTAGGAAAGAGAAGGGACCAGGGGAGGGGGCTGGGGAGGGATAGCTGGAACCTAGGGGGGAGCAGAGGGGGAATGGCAAGGAGACAGGCCATCCTACCGCGGACTTGTTTTTTAGGCATAAAAAGCGTATGCGCCAAATTTACATATTTACTAATTAAAAAGGCTTCCTGGAGGCCTCCAGTAGACTATCTTCTGTGACCTTTAACACCGGCACTAATGGATATTGCACAGAACATTTCATCGAAGGCCCTTTAAATAATGCAGGTGATTATGAATATGTAACTAGTTAATATGCAGCCGCGGCAGGTTGCCGCGTGGAGGTTAATGAAGCCTGCACGGCGGTTCGCGGCTTCTCCTCTGCTCTGCTCCTTCAGGCGTGGAGACCGGCGTCGGCCGGAGAGGGCTCAGCGTTTAATGGGTGTTCAGTAGGAACTTTATCAGGAAGAGGGGTTCACACAGATGGTTTTCTCTCTGTTACATGGAGTTCTGTTTGTGTCTCAGAGACCGTAGGGTGGACGGGAGTCACTGGCCGCTCTCTCTAAGTGCGTGTCGGCGATGTCCACGCTGCTGCTAAGTGTGGCTCAGTGAGTGCGACTCCCTCCGGTGCTGAGTGAGTGTGGGTGTGGCTGGGGGTCTGATCCCAGCATGCATTTGGTGCAGGATTACTGCCCTAGTATTTAAAATGCCCCAAGGGGTACAGTTATTTCAGGAATTAAACATTAGAGAGGTTTAGTGACAGGGCCCCCCCCCCCCCCTGCCGTGACTTCTGGGTGAAGCATTGAGCATACGGACAGACAGCAGATAGTTACCGGTGTTCAGGGCAGTGAACCAGAGCCCTGGGTTCAGACCAGGTAAAGCGCTTGGCCTGTGGCTCGGTTGGTTGGAGCGACATCCCATTCACCAAGGCTGTGGCTTCATACCCATGGGGCACACTTAGCTTGCGGGTGCTGTCCTGGTTGGGGTGCATAAGAGGCAACTGATGGATGTTTCTCCCCCTCCCCTCTCCTCCTCTCCCGTCCCCTCCCCTTCCCTCCCCTCCCCTCTCCTCTCTGTCTCTCTCTCCTCTCAATTCCCCTTCCTTCCTCTCTCTCTAAAAAAAAAAATAAAAAAAAATCAATAATAAAAAACCCCAAACATGTCCTTGGGTGTGGAGTCAAACAAAACAAAACCCTAGATGATTTTTTTTTCCATGTGGCTTTGTACTGAGCCTTTTGGCTTTTACTCCTTAGTTTCTTTGTCTCTAAAATGGTGCTCCAGTATTTGAAATGCTTACGATGTTTACTAATGGGCCATGTAAGAGCAAGTGATTAGTAATCTTTGGAAACAGTGTTGCTTTTCACTTGCCATCTAAGTGTCTTCCCCTTTGTTGGCGGGTGCTTACGGGTGTTCTGAGCTTGGTGGGATCTACCAAAATGCCGCAGGGAAACAACTTTGGCCATGAATTTCACTGTTTCCAAGGGCTATGAGGTGCTTACACTTGTATCATAACTCACAGGGGGACAAACGGGCTGTTCAGAGCATCTCTTTATCCTGAGTATTTCCCTTTGAAAATGTAGTAGAAAAATATCACCCAACTGACTTTTAATGCGTCAGAATAAAAATCACAGGTGAGAACATTTGTAGATATACTGACAAAATAAAGTATTTTCACTACTGTCATTTTTTTTAACTGATGAAACGTGGATGTTACATTAGCTTTTTGTTATTTGTAACATTTGTGTATCCTACAAAATATGTAACGCTGAAGCGGGCCTGGTTATCTTCTATCTGTGTCATCTCACGTTAGGAAGCGGGCTCTGCAATTTGTCTGCGGTTATCAGCCCGAGTTAGGCGGTGACAGAGTGTGCAGCCAGGAGCCCGCGCTCCGTCTCGGCGGTGACACAGAGAGATGGCCGGGGTGGGGGTCTGTAAGGCCCGCGGGCTGCGCCGCGCTGATGCAGCTCTGTGCCACGCCGTTTTCACGAGGAATTATCTGTTTCCGTGACAGGTGGTCGCTGGCTGCCGAGAGAGGATCCAGCACTGGTGAGTGAAGGACGCTTTTATCGCTTCTCTGAGACACTGTCAGCCACCCTCCGAGGTTAAGCAGAGTGGGCCCTGGTTTTGGGGCCTGTGATGGAATTCTGCTAGAACTCTCCGTGTGGAATGCCTGGCCACTATTTATATCGCCTGCCACTGTTTGCTGACTTAATGTCCCCTGCTTTCCTGAAGTGTCCCCACTGTGTTTATTCCAGGGGCTTTCTTTTCTCCTTTCTGTTGGTGAGTGTTAGAGTAATGTTGTTGTGATTATGAAGTGGAGACAGACATTTTAGGACTAGACTAATGGTAGCTCTACCAGGGAATATTTTATGTGTGACCGGGATGATAACTGGGTCAGCTGTGGACAGGGTGGCAGCGTGCTGAGCCCCTGAGCAGCTGCATGGGCCAGCCGCCCTGTCTGCTCAGGCTGGTTCTGAGCTCATAGCCGGTGCTGGTGCGCAGCCCCTCCTCCGTCTCTGGGCCCTGAGAGGCACCAGGGTGTGGAGGCAGGAGCCTTCGGGGGCCCCCACCTGCCTTCAGACACTGCTGCCCCCCACGCTGCTTACCCGGCGGCAGCCTCGTCTGCGGTGCATCCGTGTAGCCCAGCCCCTTGGTGGGGTCATCGAGGTGACAGGGTGACATGGTACGTGTAAAACGGGCGATGTCTGCTGACGCCTGTGCTGGCTTGTGCACTCTCGGCAATTCTTCCGTCCAAGGGGCACAGCGAATATCTGGGCTTCAGGGTCTGAACTCCTCTTCTTTATCCCCAGTTCTTGTAAACAACGTTTTTCACTAGTTTCTTGCAAATCCTCCCAGGAATTGTTTGCATCTAAGCTAACGCTAGTGTGTGAGCGTTTGCAGGACTGCTTCTCTCACACGTAACTGCTGGTGTGCAGCAGGCCTCACAGTGCGCCTGGGTGTGCAGTGGCACCGCGCTGGCACTCACAGACACTCGCTGTCCCCTGTGCTGCCCCCAGCCGCCTCCAGAGCCCCTGCAGGCGCAGCTGGCTGTGTGTCAGCGCGGCCTGCTCCAGATCTGGTTTCTCTCACCTGTGCTTCCTCCTCCTCCTCCTTCCTCTTGGTGCGGAGATGTTGGTGAGTGACATTCGCTACAGGAATATTCTAGGGCGAAGAGCATACATGTGAGAGCCCTTCGCCGCCTCTAGGCCAGCCGGGGGGGACGGCATTGACTTCAGGGGAGCGAGGAGTCAACAGAGCAGCCATTTCTGTTATCTGGACACGATGGCCTCGTGGCAGTTTATCCCAGTTTCAGTTTGACAGCATCTGCATGTTCTCTTTAAATTGCTTGCGAATTGGTGAGTTTTGTTATTTTAAAACTTCGACAGACCCTTGGCTGTAAGACATTTCAGTGCCCTGGTTTTGCCTGCAGCCGACACCCTAGCGGCCCGGGGAAGCTAACCTCCGGGAGAGGCTGAGAATGGCCCGCAGGCTGTGCTGGCAGTGGGTGCTGAGGGGCCCAGGTGGAGGGCTCCCAGGCATCTCTGCTCCTGCAAAGTCATGTCTTCGTTGTTCTTCGTGAACTGCGAGGCAGCTCCGTTTGGTGGAACATGACGCGGACACCAGGGCCAGAGGAAATGCCTGTGCTGACCTCTGTGATTTCTTCTGGCCCCATGGATCCCCCACTTTAGTCACAGGAGCGGGCCTAATGAGGGTGATGGCTCCCACCCTCAGCCCCAGCTTTCTGAGATTTTATCGATGGCTTCCTGGAGCTTCCCTCGCCCTCCTCCCTCCTCGGGAGTTTCCGTTCCCTCCACACATCGCCATCTCCCTCGTTCCCGGATTTCACTCTGCTCAGACCCCTTCCTCCTCAGGAGACCGGTTCTCAGGATGGAGGTTCTCTGAGGCCAGAGGCCCCGCGCTCCTCCCTGGGAGCGTGTCTCGGGGTTAGGCCCTCGGGAAACCTTGTGAAAACGGTTTGTGAGTGAAGACGTGTCCACCTGAGAGGGCTGAGGTTTCTGAGGGCTGGGGCGGGGGCGCAGAGCCTGCGGGGCGCTGGCTGTGGTGATTGGGTGTTTGGTGTTCTGTCCACAGGCAGCGCGTGGATGACGACTACAGCGCCCTGCAGGAGCGGCTCGGCACCCTGCCCGACAAGCTGTCCTACGACATCATGGTGGGTCGTGTCCTGTGCGGAGGGACCCTTGTTTCTGGCGGAGATGCTGCCCGTGGGGAGGAATATGTTCCTTCACCTCTGGCCGGGGTCCGGCCACTGGCCACCAGCCGAGGCCTGCGTCAGAGCAGCAGCCGCAGGGCTTGTCTCACTTCACACTCACACCAGTTGTAGTAATATGGGTCTTGTCTTCTTCCCCTTTCTTCCAGACTTACATGGAATGATCACCTTATGGTGACATGCATGGCATACATGCTAGCACCACACTTGACATGTTGGTGTGCAGGTTTACTGTCCGAAAACTACAATTATGGCAGAAATACCGCGCTTAGTCATTTCCTGTTAGCCGGAGCAGGAATAGACCGTGATGTTTTGTAATTCACAGAATTAAACCCTAGAACTTTGATTTTATATAAAAAGGTACGCTAGTTTCTGTTTGAGTGATCTCCATATTGACAGCGTCATCTGTTCCCGAACCCTGGATTAGGGCCCTCATTGCATAAGTGTTCCTCATGGAGGCAGTTCTTAATGGCGCCGCCCAGGTCCCGTGCAAGCGTGGTGGCCGTTCTGCTGGCTGCACACGATCAGTTTTGTAATTTGTTAAAGATGATATTATTCAGAAAATGGTTATTTTGTTGGAAATAATTTTGTTATTTTAATCAAAGGTATTAATTAATATTTCATTACAAGTTTGTTTCATTTAAATTTATGAATGAACAAAGTATAACCCTTCGAGGCGAAGCTGGTTGCTCTGAGAGCTGGTGTCAGTGTGCCTCTTCCCCGGCAGCTTTATTAACCTAAAGCAGCTCCTCCAGGCTCTCCTGGACCTTCGATAGAGTTAGGTTTTTGTGCGCTGACATTTTATTTATTTATTTTTTAATATATATATATTTTATTGATTTTATACAGAGAGGAAGAGAGAGAGTTAGAAACATCGATGAGAGAGAATCATCGATCAGCTGCCTCTTGCACACCCCCCACTGGGGATGTGCCCGCAACCAAGGTACATGCCCTTGACCGGAATCGAACCCAGGACCTTTCAGTCCCCAAGCCGACGCTCTATCCACTGAGCCAAACCGGTTTCGGCACATTTTATTTTTCTTAGTGTTCAGATACAAAGACCTCCACGCAGAGCTGTTAGTGCTTAGTGTTTCATAAACTGTGCTCTTCACTGTTCCTAATGCTGTTGTTTTATTTTCTAAATAGGTGCCCTTTGGCCCCTTCGCCTTCATGCCGGGAAAACTTGTCCACACGAACGAAGTCACTGTGCTCCTGGGCGACAACTGGTTTGCCAAGTGCTCCGCCAAGCAGGCCGTGGGCTTGGCCGAGCACCGGAAAGGGCGTATGTACCGACTGTAAATGACGCTCCTTTGTTAGACGGTCACGGGGGCCTGTGGGGGAGGGAGCGGGACGATGGCACCTCTGGCTGGACTAGCACCCCGTTAGCGTGTCTTTAGAAACGCATCCTGTGAATGTCACTCCGAGTGGTTTTGATGGTAGAAGTTGGGAAGACATACGAATTGGGGGCATTTTATAGTTTACTAGTGCCCCAGTGCACGCAGTCATGCACATTGAAAGGAAATTACTTAGAAGGGCCAGACATGTTCTGGAGCCAACCTCCCACAGTCCCTCCCTGGCTGCACCTGGGGTGGCGCCATGGCTCAGGGGCTCTGTGGAGTGAGCGAGGCCCCTCCGCAGGTGGGGTCCCTCGGCCTGGCCTGCCGGGATCGGGCTGAAACTGGCTCTCCAACATCCCCTGAGGCAGGGGTCTTCAAACTTCTCTCATTATGAGAATCACCTGGTGGAGTTGTTAAAACACAGATTCCCGGGTCCCAACTATAAGAAGCGCTGTCAGGAATCTGTGTTTAACACCTCCACCAGGTGATTCTCATGAGAGAAGTTTGAAGACCCCTGCCCTGAGGGGTCCCGGAGTGCGCGAGGGCACTCTGCAAAGTTGCTGTCGTACAAGGTGTGGAACGCAAAGGCAAGTGAGCAGTAACCAGACTCGTGGCCTACAGTGCCCCAGCAACAACATAACCCACGGCCGAAGGTGGAATTGTGTGGCCCCATGAGGAGTTGGGCTCCCTGCTCTGGTTTCGGGTGCGTCACCTGAGAACCGCCACAGCCAAGTCACTGCAGCTCGGCAGTTCCTGTGTTGAGTGCCTGCCCCCTGGTAGTCAGTGCGCGTCATAGTGACTGGATTGAGGACACTTGGCTTGTTAGCCTTTATATATAGAATGTATAGATAATTGGTTTGTTGTAGGCACTCTCATTGACTTATGTTTGCTTTTAATACTTTACACACAAGGAGTTAACTTTCTACTTACTGAACTGAGAGAAATATCTGTTTTCAAAGTACAATAGAAACAGTTCTTAAGCATGTGTTTGTTGGTTTGGAAGAGTGATACTTTTAGTTTACGGAAGAGGCCAGCAGTGGAGGGCCCTAAAGTGCACCCGTGTCTTTGTTAAGTGGTTTGAGGTCTCTGCCTCATTGTATTGAGCTAGTTCTTTAGTTTTGTTATCTCTGATACTATTTGTTGACACCAAATAGTGTGTTGTTTACACATACACACACACACACACACACACACACACACTCTTTGGAGTTGGGTGGGTTGAATTATGTCCTAGCTTAGTTGCATTTTAGAATTAGGTTTACTAATCTATGTTCTTAGTTCTATAATAGTATACTTAAATTAGTAGTATTATACCACCCCTACCTGCTTTTACCCTGGGTAAATGTGCACTTGAGAATACGCTTGTGTGGATCCCTCTACATA